GAGACGCTCCATTGGAAACGCTGTAGTGATAGAGTGACTCTACCAAGCTCCGGTCCCACGATCAGTACAGACTGTCCACTTCTGCTATGCTATAACTTAACTACCAGGAATCATGAGTTACCTAAACGCTTTTGAGTAATCTATTCTCTTGGGAAATTGCCTATTTCAGTTATGGCTGTTGGCAGAGCTCAGGGCTCTGCGGTGTATGCTGTTTCGCAGTACGCAAAAACTCGTGGTATTCCGGTGTTGGCCGATGGAGGAATTCGTGACGTCGGCTACATCACGAAGGCAGTGGCACTGGGAGCAAGTGCGGTAATGATGGGTGGCCTGCTGGCAGCTACTACTGAGGTGGGTTTTGTGGATATCGGGTCTGACTTGCCTATACTAGAAGGCCGAGCACCTGCCCGATAGCTGAGGTGGACTCCTTCCTGTAGCTCGTCATATTGTGAATGTTTCAGGCTCCCGGTGAATACTTCTGGGGTCCTGGTGGTGTTCGTGTGAAGAAATACCGCGGAATGGGCTCGCTGGATGCAATGGAAGCGCATGCTTCTAGCCAAGATCGCTATTTCACTGCGTGAGTCCGCTCTCTCTGGTGGTTTGGCGACACTACAGTACACTAGTGCAATCCTGATTCAGGGATTCGGATCAAATCAAAGTGGCGCAGGGTGTGTCAGCGACAATGAAGGATCGCGGATCATGCCATAAGTTCCTACCGTATCTCGTGCGCGGAGTTCAGCACGGTTTTCAGGATATCGGTGTTCGATCACTGGAGGAGTTACAGTAAGTCCTATTATTCAAGACAACCACCTGCTCATCAGCAACGATTCTCACTTTCTGTGAAGCTCGCAGTTGAGTTAGGTGTCTCATAAATCGAGCACCATGGTTTCAGTGAAAAAGTGGCCGCAGGGAAGGTACGGTTCGAACAACGCTCTCCAAACGCGCAGCTAGAGGGTGGTGTACATTCGCTCCATTCGTGAGTTTTTCTTGGTATTTAATAAGTCCTATATTAAACCGATTCTTGGCTTCATTCGCCACATGTCAGTGTGAAGTAATCTCTGCCGCTTTGTCGATTATAATGATTGACTTAAGGCTCATATAAGCTTGGGAGGGTTACACCTGTAAGCGCTTTTCAGCCTATCGAATCTTGTAAACTGTAGACATGATAGTACCGGGTCTTGTCAACTCTCTGTAAGCCTTGTTATCACCTGTCAAGC